CTTAAAGATTTTTTTCCTGAAGATACAATGCTTAATCTTATCTTTTGCATGCCAGTACACTGAGTGCCTGTCAACTTCTGCCTGATTGTTCTCTCATGCATCTTTCAAAGCAGCGTATTTGTAGGAACTATGCATTTGGTGAATATGTGTGGCAATTTCTCCTGCTGAGAGGGCAGAGCACTCTTCCCAAAGGAATCTGATGAAAGGTCAAAACAAAAGAAGTCTACATAAACCATCAAGAGATTTAGCCAAAACTACAAGTCAGCACATCAGACACCAGGTTTTTATTCAGCCAGAGCAGTAAGATGAAAGGAGATAAAAGAAGTGCTCTAATTCAAGTGACCCACGGAAAAAAACCATGCTAGTTAGATGCTGTATTCACACATATCTGTTTCTTCCTTATTAAGGGTCTAATGTGGTCTAATGCTCCAGTTGCTCCTGAATGAAAACCACTCGTAATGCAGTTAAAAGTTAAAGCAAGTGAAATAACATGAGAGTGAAATAACAGACCAAGCCATCAAATTGTCTGCACATCATTACAGAATTGCTGCATGAGTTGTTTAAGCATATAAAGATAAAACAACTTCCAGTTACTCAGCAGAATTACTTTCTTAGATCTCCCTCCTTTATATATTTCTGCTTTATTTCTACTAAACTTTTCAACTGCATATAAACAGGTTGATACATATTTGCAAATTCAGACAGCAAAAACAGACCTTAATATAAGGCTTTTAGTAAATGAAAGTTTTAAGGTTTATTTTAAACACATCACATGTTAAATCGAGTCTTTTTTGAAAAATATATAATTTAATATTCATTTGAAATCAAAATATTTGCAACATGAATGTGTTCTGTGGAGTTATTTCCAGAATGACATAGCTCACTGCTGTCATTAGTCAATCTTCCCACATGCCCAGACTTTGGTATATCTTCGAGATGTCACAGTTTATTAATAAACCAAATGACTCATGAGCAGCATAGGAAAAGCAGTCACAGAAGAACTCAGTAACACCTAATGATGACGATGCTGTCAAGTCAACAGGTGATACGAACTAAGAAACTGCAGTTACTCAAAGATAAGGTTAGCGGTCCTGTTTCCAGCAAATACCTACATCTCTCTTATTAAAAGCTGGATACACACTGTTTCAAAATGCCCTGCATTTCTTCTCAGAAATTGTGTAAGCACAATTTAAGTAACAGATATTTTCCACATCAGACTTACTAAATTAAAGGACTACTTAAAAATATTAGGTTCCATCTTGCACATGCTACAGCTATCATACTACCTTAAGTAGGTTTAGCAAATTACTAGGTTCTAAAGCTTAATAAGAGAACTGGCAGCATTGAATAGGCCATTAGAAGCAAACTGAGTGGAAAACATTTCAAGCACGGAAAAAAACAAGTTGCTTTCTGCAATTTCCAGACAAATATATATAAAAAAAAATGTCCTTCAGCCCACTTTGTTTCAGAATTTTCTAGTTCTTCCATCTGTGCTCCCAGCACACTCATCTAGCCTCTTCCTTTACTGAATACTTCAAGGGGCTTGTTAGCAAACCTCAAACTTTTCAAATGTTGCTAGTTTTATTGCCACCACATCATTCTCCCTTGCCCATTTTCCATCTTTGTCTACCACCCAAAACAGCTGTTTATGCTCTAACTCACACATTACCATTTTACTCGGAGATGGTCATTGGTCATACAATGATTACCAAAAAAAAAAAAATCGAATTTGAATATAAAAATAAAGGCCATGAAAAAACCTCCTAACTCTAAGATATTGCAACACAGCAGACATAACATGTAATATGCTGAAAATGGATTAAAAAAAATCATAGAGAAATTAAAACAAACTACGCAATGTAGATAAGCACACAAGCTAGTATTCTGAAACTGTATTCTTCAACTTACTACAAAATTAGGCAAATTAAAATGTTTTCTGAACATCTGCCAAAAATTAATACGCCCAAGTTGGACATTTGGAAAAATACATTTTCATTAATTTTGATGCAACTTTTAATAGCATCTCAAACTAAATCTATAATCTTTTATTAAAATAACAATGATCTTTATCCATGTGGACCTAAAGACCCTAAGACATCCTGTGTTTTAGCAATATAAATTGACAGGTTAGAAACATTCCTAAAGCTAAAATATAGCATTTTCATTGCAAGTTTGAATGACATGGGATGGACAGAAACAAACTGTATTTCTGAGAAGACATTCTCACATAGGTTTTATTGTATCTTTCCTTCAAGCAATCAAAAGAGCAGGCCTGCTTAAGATAGAACCGTAATTAGATTTAACTAGACTTAAGATATAGCCTCCTGACCTTTGGGTTACAGGGTAAATAAGAAAAATGGACACTAAATCTACTGCTTCTGCCTCCTTATTTCTTCTCAGAACCGGTGATTTTTTCCTTCAAGAGGAACTACTTCCCGAGAACTTCCAGTTCACAGTTTTTCAACACTGATTTTGCAAGAGAATCCATGTGTTGTTAAAGTAAAGGACTCCCAGTAATTCACTGGTATTTTGACAACAGCTTTATATCAGAAGGTACTTGATCCAAAGTGGCTAAATAGGCCAGAGAGCAAGGCCAGGAAATTGCAGCTCAGATACGTGTTACAGCACAGATAAACAAAGAGGTGAAGCCATACACCCACACTTGCATCTGTTGCAACACACACCGAAATAAAAGACAGCACAGTCAAGTGACACTGCTGCTCTCTTTTGGTCTTGTCCATACATCTTCTCTTCAGAGGAGAGGATTCCTGTAGCCTTCACCTCCCTGCACAGCTTCTTGGTGAGGAGAAACTTAATTTATCCTCCTGAAAGCCACCCCTTCAGAAGGGAAAGAGCTGGACAAATTAGCTTTTATAGCAAAGAGTACAGAAATTATGCAATTTGAGATTGAAGTCTTATATACTTAGATGAGTTTCATAAAATCACTTGTCACTGTTGCCAGGACTCCAGCATCGTTCCCCCTCTTCCCATTCTTCAGAGAATCCCACTTTCCACTCCTCAGGGCAAGTCAAGCAGCAACTGCTCCCCAGCCTCAGACAACATCTAAGAAAGCGATAGCCAGTGTCAGCTCTGATTGTCAAGAGTGTGACCTGTTAACAAAGTCCTGGTTTCTTCTTGTAAAATGTTGACTTTTGTTCTTAAGGACTACACTGCTCCAGTAAAATGAACAGGAAATCATTCTGACTCCTCTATTCTGCACAGTCTTCCATACTGAACTTCAAGTACTCACGCCAGGAAGAAACTTAACTTGATCCACTACTTCCAGTTAAACCAAGCTGACAAAGCCATACGGGTAAATTTAAAAAATAGTATCATTATTTAAAAGCATCTAGACATTTTGGAGTTGAAAAAAAAAACCCTAAGTGACAGATGTGGAACTTCAGTTGTAAATGGCAGACTAAGCATTATTTTGTACTTCATCTTGGCAATTTGCACCAATTCTGCAGGGGTAAATTAAAAAAAAAAATATTGCTGGAACAGTACCATGTGAAATCAAGAAGAACACAAAAAAGCCAATACAAAAAAAGTTCACTGCAACCTCCAAGTCAGAATAATTCATATTACATTAAAAACCACCAAACTATCTCTTCATTCACTCATCTAACTATATGTAGAATTCAAGGCTACTAAAGGTGTAAGGCCTTAAATTCAATGGATTACAAAAGTTATTTAAAGTATTCATTACCCAGAATTTAACAGTTTTTTAACAATCTTCTGTATGAGACTAACTTAAAAATGGCTAACAGTGTAAAAGGGTTTCTAAATACTCAGAGGAAGCCATTTTATTTTTAATATTCAACCACATTAAGCAAATGCAATATTACCATGAAGAGGTAATTTTATTACTCTAAATTATTTTAAGCATTTGAAGACAGTTCAGATTATTCTTTCCTGGAAGCCTGTGTGTGTATCCATGTATATAAATATACATATGTGTGTGTGTGCATGTATCTACACACAAACACCCATATAGACAGATACATACATCCAACCACATACCTTTTTTTACTTATATTTCAGTTCACCAAGAAAAGGACCTAAACAGCATAAAGGCAACAAAGCTTTGTGAAATTTCTAAAGACTTTCCATAGCTGCAATTACACAGCATGGGTATGCTGGCAAGATAGTACAAGCTTGTCAAAATCTGTCCAGCAATTTTAGTGTACCACACCCCTCTTATCCCAACTACCTAGACAGTGACCAAGCAATTAACAAGTAAACTCAAATTATTTAATATTTAAATCCCTAACTAGCCCAATTGTGAAGCAAGCAGTGCACATTAGCTGTTGCAATTCCACCCCCTCAAGCCCAAATTTAATACACTGACGCACAAACGTGTTATTAACCTGGGGGGTACAAAGACGACAGTCTCACTTTAAAGCCTGTTTTCTTTGCATCAGGCAACACCTAAAAAGCCCTTGAGAGCAAAGCAGGTTCAGAAAACCATTATTGCTCCCTTTAACCAATTTTTTTCTTCTAGAATGCTCCTGTATCCCCTTCAGTAAGTTAAACAGATATAGAAGAGTTAAACAGTTTCAGAGAAAAAAAAATACACTCAAATCCATACGAAAAAAATAAACCTTAAATCCTGGGTTACTGTTTCAACAATGCCTTCCTTAGTTTTTCCAAACAACATAATTATCAGTTGTTCTTCAGTCAAAATGCCAAATACATTCCAAGGGTATGTTTAGAAAGATCTAACAGCAGACAATCTTCTATAACAATTACAGAGTGGAAATTCTTCAGAACTATCAATACAATTCTAAATGATATAATGAATATGAATCCTAAGCTTTGACATTACAGCTGCATGCATATATATATATAACATGCCACATACATGCACTAATACCCTACAATATCAGGACAAGATACATCCATGTCTGTGCATAGCAGACGTTAAATAAACATGCTATCCCGTTTTTTGTTTAGCTTTCAATCAGCAGACAAAATTATTAATGAAACGAGTTTGTATTTACCAGGGATGAGTGAATCAGTATTCCTGAATCTTCATCTGGCAAGCTGAATGCTGTGTATTCAAGGGCATTGTTTTCCCCTTGCTGTTTGCAAATATAACCACAGTTTCTCTCAAAAACTGTACGAATGCCTTTAAACAGAACCACACTTGTAGTGCAACCCATTCCAAAGCTGTTGAATTTTGCATTTCTAGCAGCCCTGATTACATTTGCAGAATGTCTTCTTCCTTCGCTCGACTCGAGTAATTTTCCTGTGCTTTGCAGAAATATTTCTTTGTACAATCCTCATCATGTCCGACATTTAGTATGTTCCTTGACTAGAAACCATCAGCTACTGAAATGTAATCCTATTTGCTTAAGCCCAATACTGCCAAAAATCCAGCCGCAGAAGACAAAAATCAGAGGGCTGATGAAAAGCAAAGGATACCTCAGCTGTAGAAGACAGGAGGCTTTCAGCATGCGCTGTACTCCACCACAGAGGTGAAAAGATATTCCAAAGGGTCACACAAAGAGCTTCTATACTCAGAGATCCTTAAAACATAATCAAAGATGAAAGGAAACTGCAAAGATACTGCTGCAGTTTCTGCTGCCAGCCACAAAGAATCCTCATCTGCTGCAAGAAAGCAGTCTCCCAGAATGCTTAGCACAGATTTCGTACTGGCAAACACTTCTTTACTTGACCTACATGTGCTTTTTCATGTTTGAAACAAAAAGCTTCAAAATAAAAAACTCAAAATATGAAGTGGAAATTCTTAAATCATTGCTGCTATGGAAAGAAAACAGCATGTTATATGCACTTACTTCAATCAAATCTATATGTCAGAGCATGCTATTATCCATTTAGGCAAACCACAAGGGAGCTGAAGGCTGTCTTTACTTTTTCCTTTCTTCCGCGTATACAAAGTGATCAGTTGATTCCCACCTGCCAGAAACCGACTTTATTACTCCTTGATTGCATATAATCAATAGTCATTAAAAAAAAACAGAAAAAAAAGAACACAGCTGGCTATCTAATTCAGACCAACATCCACCTCTAAAACAAAAATACAGAATGAAATTTAAAATACATACATTTCTTGGTTTTATAGTGACTCCCATACAGGACTCTACTCCACATACTGCACTTGTACAAGTACATAAATATTTTTAACTGACACAGAGAAGAAATGTTAAATTTTTTAAACTATTTTTAAAGGCAAGGAATTTGCAAAAAATAACTATCCCAATCCACACCATAATGGTACCAATTACCACATCAGAGATTGCTGGTTTTATATTTTTGCTCAACTGAAAGCACTGAGATGTATTTGCTTATTTACCTACTAAATTGTAAAACTGGATGAAAGAGCGATCTTACAAACTCAGAATTATTTAAATGGAGTTAAAACAAGGTACGTTAAAAGCACTTAAGTGAAGCACTGAGGGTGGGAATAAACAGATTCACACTGTCAGCTACAGATTTGCCCCAGTGCAAATTAAATTATCTCAAGGAAATATTTGCATGCTACAATGATATATTCAGAATAAATATTTCAGACTTACTAGCATTTTTCCCTAACTTCTGCCTAGTTAATACATCTCAATATGCTTCTCATGACATTTCTAACCTAAATGCAATATAATCAATGCGTCCACGTGTTATTGAAAAAAAAAAAAAGCCGAACCAACAACATTTGACAGTTATTCAAGTAGTTCTTGTCAGTCCCATATTCACAAAGGCAGAAGTTAGACCATTTCTCATATTGTAAGAAATTCCAAATGTTTTAAGGCAATTCTGTTAATAATGAACAGCTTTATGAGAAGGGAGAACAAAGAAAGTCATGGTGAAGAATTTGGCACAAATTCTACTATGAAGGACAGAGATACTTCATACCTCACCATGAACCCTTGCACAGCAATGTCTCTGTACCTTCTTCTGCCTTTCCACCTATCCCACTCTCTTTGAAAACAAGAAGTAGGTCAGTGAGGGAAATGCTCTGCTCCATTCACTAAAGCTGGATAAAGATATCCTTGCAAACATGTGAGGGAAAACAGTCATGGGAATTACCATGGAAGGCATTCCCCAAAAATACATTCAAGTTAACTGTTTCTAGTGCAGAAGTCCACTTCATTCCCATCTGAAACGTAGGATTATAGAGATCTGACAAAGTTCAGCGTACGAACATGATATCAAAAGTTAAGAGATCATTAAAAGGAAGCACTATTTGGAGAGTTTTCCATTCAATTTCAAAGACTTCATAATAGCAGATGTTCCTAGCAAAACAAGAAAGTAGCTTATGCCTTAAGAGAATATGCGAAAAATAGGTCAGGTAACAAATTATGCACGAAACAGTTCTCCCAAATGTCTAGAAAATTACTTCACTTGTAAAGTACTAGGTAGGTTGAGGGGAAACAGGAAGACAAAAAGATTTAATTTGGAAGGACAAACATGCGAAAGAATAATAGACTAAGTCAGATTGGAAGTTACCCTGGGAAGTGTTCTAGTTCAAAACCAGTTAAGAGAAAATTTAATTCCAACTATATCTTGAATAAATCCAGCATCATGTTTTTACAGCGTTTTAGAAAACACTGAAACGTTTTTAGAAAAAAACTGAAATGGACTCGGACCAACAAAATGGTAACAACGACATAAAAAGCATTCCAAATAGAGCTTGAAAGGGAAATAATTATGGGGACATGAGGGGTGGGAAGAAACTACAAGGAGAAGGAGAAATTTCAATAGTATGCAATGTAAAGAAGTCTGCCAACAAGCAGACTTTTTATTAAGACATTAATTCAGTGCGAAGTGGGAGTTGCCAGTTTCATTAAGGAGATTCCTGGAATCGTAGTGAGCAACGACACTGCACAAGCACTAACCATCCGGGCAGAAATGTGACACAATGCAATATTATCCATTTCAGTATCATATCTCAAAGTGAAATGGTGTCATGGTTTAGGAATGGTATTCCCCAATTTAGTGTTCCCACTGAAACACTCCAAACCACGTGCTGTTGACGCACTCCCCCCTCTCCCCCTGCGGTGGGATGGAGGGAAGAATTGGAGGCACCAAAGGTAAAGATCATGAGTTAAGATAATAACAATTTACTGGAAACAGCAATAAGGTAAGAAAACAAACAGTAACAGCAGAGATACAAACAGAGGGTACAAGAAGGAGGCAAACAATTCACACCCAACTGCTCACCATGCAGAGCCCAGGGATACACGAACCGCTGCCATACTACACCGAACACAAGAGACCCCTTCCCCCGTATGACCTGAGGTGGTATAGAATAAATTCTGGGTCCTAGTCATGACCCCTCCTGGCTATTGCAAAAATTTAACTCTGCCCTGGCTGGAACCAGGACATACAGGAGGTTGGAAAAATTCTTACAAAGGTCTGACAGCACTTTACCAACTGAAGAGAGCTAAAAGACAGCCCAAGGTAGGTAAAAGTCTTAATCCAATAGCAAAAAAAAAAAACAAAACAAAACAGAACAAATCAACATATGAACAAGCCCAGACTGTACATACAAGCCAAACTGCCTTTGGCTGAGCCTGGGTTATGAAAAGGTCTTCTTCCATAAGGCAAAGTGGAGGGGAGGAAAGTAAGGCTATAAGGAGGAGACAACACTAATGCCTGTCTTCTCTTGGTTTATGAAAAAGGGCCTGCACCAGAAGGCTTAGAAAGAGCTATTTGAGTTAGGGATGTAATATTTGCAATATATACTAAGCCAGTCAGCCTGTTTATATGGGCAGCAACAAGCTCCTCCTTGCTATATACTATATTGAATCTCTACTGACAGCACTATGAGATTCCCAAAGATAAAAAAATTAATTAGTCATGTTAGTCCTAAGTTGTTCAAAATCATATATTTTTGAGACATACTCTTTTGGACAAGTAATAAAGAAGAAACTCGAGTTCCCTTCCAAAAAAACCATAATTGCTTTAAGGGTCTAACCACTCCTCTGATTACAGTAGATGACTAATAATCACTTTGCACTTGGGAACTGAAGGATTTCAAATCAACATGTCAAGCAACCCTTTGACAACCAAACGAATTCCAAGAAGCATAATCACAGAGGTACAAAGCAAATGTGTGATAGCAATCAGACAGTTCAAAACAATGTTTAGAAGTTTCCATTTGACACTGTTTAACATTTATGAAGGTTAGGGAATCAACCTGGGTTGACTTAAAATCTTCAGCTCATCCTACAGAATTCTCACTATCAAAATGAGAACTTAGAGGCACCTAGACAAAAACTGAAATTTGAGAGAATAGAGATCAAATTTGAGAGACCTTCTAAATGAACGTGTTACTACAAGACAACATGGACATTCTGTCTTCAGAAAAGCCACCACTAAAGGAAAACACTTCATTAAGATAAAGGCCCATATCTGCAAGTGAACATACTTCAGGCAGGACTCAAGCCCCTAGGTCCTACCATAAGAGCCATAAAAATATCCTTAGTCTCTTGAAACGTTAGAAGTAGGTACTTACATTTTTACCTACAAAGTTCTCAATGACATTTAAAATGCCCAAACTGATGCCATCTTGACAGGAGTGAACATCTGGTTCCTCAGAGATCTTAGCACATCCTGACTAAATTCAGCTTTTCACAAAACATGATGAATATTTGTCAGTGGAGCACTACCTTCCATCTGGCAGCTGCCTGTATATCAGCTCAGAACAGTAGAGATGTGGGCCTAAAGCCTCCTCAGTCCAAAGATGAAAACTAATGAAAACTAACACCACTCTTTGGAGTGCCTTAACAATCCAATGATAGTATATCAAAGGCAACATACTCACTTCTGCCTGATAAAGCTATGCTGCAGGAAATAACTGAAGATCTAATAGCCCTGCAAGAGTAAAAAGAAGTGTATGTGCAACAGTTCATACTTAATAGGAATGGTCACAGAGGAGAAGAAAATTCAGGTGCTGGTTCCTGTTGCTGGTTCAGTCCTGCACTGATTGCTTCATGCAGATTTTATAGAAGAGTTTTTTCAGGTTATTCTCTTCAAGAACTCATGTTCTTTCATGTGTCTTTCTGTCCTGAAAGCTGCTTTGTGGGTACAACAGTGAATTTTACTCTGCCTAAAGAGTAAAATTCTTATGCACTTGATTTGTCAAAACTAGTCAGAGCATGTGTTTGAATATGAATTATTCTTCGTAAACCTCATATCCACTTTCCAAAATGGCAAGGAGGAGGATACAGAAAACCACAAGTTGGTCAGATTCACCCCAGTCTCCAGGAAAATTATGATATAAGCCCTCCTGGAAGCCATTTCCTGACATATAAAGAATAAGAGTATATATAAGTTCCAAGTAGACTATATGGATTTACCAAGGACAAATTATGCCTGATCAGCCTGTTTGTCTTCTGTGATGTGATGGTTGGCTCTGTGGACTAGAAGACTAGAAGAAAGCAGTGGATGCTGAATAATGTTAGTAAAAGAATGCTTCTGACAGTCTACCATAGCATCCTTGTACCCAAATTAGCTAGATGTGGTCTGAATGAGTAGATAAGGATGACACCTCGTTGAATAGCAAGTTGAACATGCTGAGCAGGCTTCTCAGTACAAGAAAGATATTGGCCTATTAGACTGAGTGTAATGGAGGCCAT